TGGCGGGGAAAAGTCCAAATGGGGGAAAAAAGAGAGAAAAAAAAGGGGAGGGGGGGACTTTTCATCTTGAAGGATTTTCCAATATTAGTCTCTTACAACATTGATACTTAGATATTAGTTCCCCAATTCATTGTAATTTGATGTTAGTCCACCGAATCATATATATGCTGACACGAGGCCCTCCATCAAACTATTTAACCTGATACTGAATGTGTAATTACTTTATTATTCGTCCACAAGAAATACATCTCTCCCAACAACCCCCCCCCCAAAAAAAAAAAAAAAAAAATCATTTATGAACCGGCCATACTGGTATGTGATGGATGTCACACTAAACTTAAGAGGACCGTATAGAGAGCTTCCTCAAATACAGAAGCTTCAACCTAGCAATCTGAGTCAAGTATCCATTGAATTGTCTAAAAAAGGCAGCTTTCATCCTAATCTACATGGCGGAGGGGGCTAAGAGAGGTCCATTCCCGCTCCTTAGGTCAAAGGCAAGGAGCCGTCGGTAGCAGTTGACGGAGGAGTCGAGCAGTCACCTCCTTCATCGCGCCTAGAGCACTGGGAGCTTCGTCATCCGACTCCCCCTCTTCCTCGCAAGTCCCCCCCCCCCTCCCCCCCAACCCTCCCTCCCCTCTCATCCCAAGTGCTTCCACCTCCACCATCTCAACCAAACACTTAGCTGGCTATGATGGGAGGATAGTAGAAGCGATCGGGTGGGTTCCTCATCTCGGTCAGAAGCTGCGCCGCAAGGTAGTCGTACCCAGCCTTGTAGGCTATCGCCACCTCTGTTTTTCCAATAAGGTCCTGACCATTCTATTCTATGATTTCCTCGTGCTAAGGCTCAGACTCGAGGTAAGCGTTGTGGCTTTGGGCCACTGCTAAGGACTCATGTCCCCCCCCCTGAAGTTTGACGAGCGCTGCATGCTCCTCGTCCAGCTGATGCTTTGCATGCACCGCCGCCTACTTCTTGGTCTCGACCCGCACCTTAGCACGGTCCCTCTCCTGTAGAGCTTCATCCAGTCTCATAGCGTTCTTGTTGCTCTCATCAAGCTCTTGCCTGAGCCTGTCGACCTCAGAAGCTCTTGAGGCTGGTGGCTCTGCAACCCGCTCTAAGTTGCCCCCCTCTGCCAGCCCTCGGGGAAGCTACCTTCCCTAAGAGCTTGAGATACAAAGTTTGGATTTGCTCCATCCGGCCGAATATCTCTTGATCCACCAATGCCCCTCGAACTAGGTAGCTCTGAAGGCTTTGGTGGAGACTAGCATTAGGAACCTTCGTCAAGAACTCCTCATCCTGAGGAAGCCAGAACTGCTCGACCGCCCTCACCTGAGTCATGAGAGAACCAAGTACAGACCCCCTGATATCAAGATGGTGAGTAGGTCGGTAGCGGTGCTCTGGGTCGGGCTCTTGTCCAAATCAAGGGACGATCCCCAAAGACCCAATGAGGTACCGCCTCATCCTATCCCATTCTTCCTCCCCGGTCTCAGTAACGTGATGGGGATAAGGATAATCTAACCCTACGGGAGGTGTCGTTGCCTCCCCAACCGGTTTTTTCCCCCGACGGTATGACACGCTGTGGTGGACGAATGACTCTCCTTCACCAGCAAAGGCTCTTGCCTTGGCTCCGACCTCTTCCCAGGGAGCCTCGGCCTGCTCTTCCGGGGCCGATTCGTCCACATAGACGACGTTGGTCTTGACCACCTCGGCTGCCACCCGAGGTACTTTCTCCTCATCCCTCTGTGGCCTCCTCCTTCGCCTATGGATGAGGGTGGAAGAAGGCTCTACTTCGGTCATATCGGTCTCCATTAGGGGTAAGTCACGGTGGAGACGCTTTTTAAGCCTTGATGATGGCCCTTCCTGGGCGGTCGACCAGAGGAGCGGACATCGTCATCACTGCTTCTGTCGTTCCTAAGATCAGGGCTAAATCTCTCTCCTGGTCCTTGACGGAGGGAGGCATGACAGATACATTGGCAACCTGCAAGACCGAGTTGTTAATCAGGTGTTTGACTCTGCGAGAGCTAGTGTATGCCTTGATTTGATCCAATGCATCCCTCTCAGCGTCAAGCAAGTCACTGGCCATTAGCGCTTCACTCCTTATCTCCGGCTAGTTGGAGCAGCCCAGATCCAAGTCGTCCCCCACGACCGAGACAAACTTCTCCTTTCAATTCTTGTTCAAGTCAGGAAGGCTAGTGATGGGCTTGTACTTCCCCACCATCTGGAAATAGAAATTGTTGGCCTTTTTTATGATGTTTTAACAAACAATTTATAACTAATATTGTTTGTTTAGTGTTTGTGTTTTTGTATTTATTTTAGACAAATAATTAATTAGAGGTTGGATGGAATTGCGCTTCAACGATCATATCCAATGGAGGTTGGTGGAATAATGGAGTGAAGCCTTACAATTCAAGTTGAAGATCCAAGTTCAAGCTTCATCCATGTTACCAAGAACGAGCATCATGAAGATCATTGCTTGGTAAATTAGTTTTAGGTTTATACTTGTGTGTAGATACTTTAAGCTCATATATACACACACACACGTATTTGGTTTACACACACACACACACACACACACACAAGTTTTGGTCTTTGGTTTTCAAGTTTATATATGAAACAAATGAATATAACCGGAAAATACATGTTTGTTTCATGTTTATATGCTTATACATGATTTTATCAATATCAAGTTTATTTAGTTCAATGAAATCATGTTTATTGTTTTTGAAAGTTTGCAAAACATGCATTTTAGTGAAAATATTGTATTCTTGGTTTATGGACTTAACAATCATTATATACATCTTTTATTAAGTCTATAAAATCATTTTATAAAGTTTCAAAACTTGGTTTATGTTAAAACATTAAAATTCAAGTATCTCATGTTTTGGACATATCTATAAAATGATGATATTTTACAAATGGGAGGTGCTTTTTCAAAACTAGTTTTTGTAATATGTTCATTTTCATGTTTACAGTCATTTTCCAATGTTTTACATTTTTCTAAATTTATTTGCTATTTTAAAAAACACTTCAAAAATTAGTTTTACAATTCAAAATAGGCTGGTAAAGTGTTATCAGTCGACTGATACATGTGTTTAGTCGACTGAAGAAATCGCCTGGAATAAGCAAAAGTTTCTATTTTATTCTGGTCGACTGACCAGTCAACTGATGAGGTCATCAGTCGACTGATCGTGTTCTTTAGTCGACTGATCGTGTTCTTCAGTCGACTGATACATGTATTTAGTCGACTGAAGAAATCACTTGGAATAAGCAAAAGTTTCTATTTTATTCTGGTCGACTGACCAGTCGACTGATGAGGTCATCAGTCGACTGATCGTGTTCTCCAGTCGACCGATCAGCTGTCAGTTTCTTGTAACGATCAGCTCATCAGTCAACTAACGACATCATAACGGCTAGTTTTCTAGAATTTTTAGTTTCCGTTATTTTGTCTTTTTATGATGTTTTCTCTTGATTTTTTGGGTTGTTTCATGAGCCTATATATACCCCATGCCCTCATACTTCTGAGGTTAATTAAGAAAGTTTTTAAACAAATTTAAAGGGTGTTTAAAGTTTGTTTTAGTGTTTGTTTCAAGTTTGTGAAGAAATCATCATAAGAGCTAGAAGAGATCATCCTTTGGTATTTGAGCTTCAAGTCATCTCTCTCTCTCTCTCTCTCTCTTGTCATCATAGAGAAGTTTCCTTAAACTCAATTCTAGCTATTTATTATTTTGACTCTAATTTCTCTAAGCTAGATTTCAATATTGAGTTTAATTGTTTTATTGATACTCTTTATTCGCACACAACCTATTGAGCGTATTGTATTTTCATATATAGTATAATTTGGGTTGTGGGGATTGTGTGACTTGGAGAGTGAGCTTACATTTAGTTCTCATCTTGTATTAGAGAACAAACAATTGTATTTGTGCCTAATTGTGAAGTTACACTTTGTAATACACTTGTACACAGAGAGGAGTGTGTGGTGAGAGACGGGGTCGTTCTAAGAGGAGTGGGGTAGATGGTAATATCTAGAGGTAGGTTGTAATTCCTAACCCTTGAGGGAGACAAAGGCTAGAGACCACACTTAGAGGGTGTAGAGTATGATTGCAAGAGTGTGAGATTATAAATTTTTGGTGAGCTAAAAAACTGAGGGTGAGGTATAAATATTATTCGGGTGAGCATAGAAAACCCGGTTATGATAGTGGAGATCTCCTCGAGGTGAGGAGCGAAGACGTAGATCGTGGGGACCGAACTCCGTGATCATATCGCTTGTTTGAGTTTGTATTGACGCACTTATTTTTGTGTTCATTTTATATTACCTTTGTCAATTGCTCATTATTTGTATTCCCACTATCTTGTT